TCACTGTGTCACTGTTCAGACAGTCAAATAAAGGTCACATCTACCCTTGCTTTTCTTCACCTTCCCTTCAGCAGGAGGAGTACCGTTCCTTGTGGTGCCCCAGAACAGAAGCAAGGAGACAGAGTTGCTCAGCAGCATCTCTTCTGCCTGGTTAGGCAGCCAGACCAGGGTCCCCTCTCTTGCTTGCAAAGCTTTCTGAGAAGAATCATGATGCTGTATTATCCTCTGCACCAAACTGTCCCTAGAAGGGAGATGCATCCCAAGCCAAGAGTCTGTTCAGGTGTAATGCCAGTGACAAACTGTTTCAGCAGGGTTGTGCACCAAGGGCTGCTCTTGGCATGATCTGTTCTGATTGTTCAGTTTCTAGTACCTTTTCAAAAAAATGTTTTAGGGTGGTTTTTTTTAAAGATAATTTGCCTTAATATCATTAAGCTGGTTTTTTCCCCCCACATTGAAGAATAGCAGCATACAGAATGAGACAGAAACAATTCCTACCTTATTAGAGAAGTGCTGATTGGGTGGATGTTGCATGACCGTGTGTTTTTGCACTAGCTTGTTATCCTATACTGCCTCAGTTTAAACCAGCCATGGGGAGGCCTGACCTGAGGGCTAACCTCTGCGGGCAGGTTAGCACTACATGTGGTCCTTGGAGCATTTACTGCTTTCTTCTGGGCTGTAGCTGAGTCAGTTCTTACATTTCTGAGCAATCATTTGCCTCTTCTCTACACGCCTGTATCACCTCAGTTACTTTGCATACTAACCTGGCAGCCCCACTGACAGGTTTGAGGAGAGGATGGCTCTGGAGTTCCAATCCACACTGTGTGTTTCTTCAGCAGATTCACTGGTCTCAGCAGGTCCAAATTTACTTTTCAAGGGCCATCTCAAACTAGCCTCGCTTATACAAGCTTGTTTGTTGTCTCACATAACTAAGGGACACAAATCCCACTAGCAGGTGGATTCAGGAGTTTGTACCCACAAGGAGCCTACAGCAGCCGAAAGACTGGCTTACGCTGCTCAGGCCCCCGAGTGGGTCAGAGGGGAGCTCCATCCCAGGCTTGGAAGAGATTTCTTGCCAAATAAGGTTCCTGTATTGCTGTTTCCCAGAGGACTGACAGTCCAGATGAGGCTTCTTGATTAAAAGGAATGCTAAATAATTGTTGGGTGGGAAAATGATTTTTTCAGTCTGCTGACCCTGAGGGTTTCAGGCTTCTCACTACTAGACCAGCAAGCTTATGTGCATCAAGGCTGCCCTGAGCAGAAATAACACACCTCTTGTTTCTATTGCAGCATGCATGGATCACAATCTGGCCTTGGTCTGATGGGAATAAAAGATGACCGAGGGAGGAGTGCTTGTTAAACTGCCAAGTTTTTAAGCAAAGTCTTTTGTTACGATACTTTTAATTACTTTAAATATTGATGGCTTTGTAAAGACCTCTTACCATAATAACAATAGGCTTTCACTCTGTATCTTTTACAAAGTCTAAAAATAAAAGCTATTCAAAACATGTTAAAACACAGACACGTTTCCATTAACCCTTCTTGCTGTGGCAGTTTTCCTTGGCAGCGGGTGAGTTAGTCAAGTGCTCAGGGAGAGCTGGGGGCAAACCAGGGGGAGCGTTGCCTAAAGTCCATCAGTACTGGCATGCAAGATGTAACTCAGCAAGTCCCTCATTGCCGGGGCCTGGCACACCAGTGGGTTGTCTTCAGTGAAACCTTGCAGGCTGTAAACCAGCAAGTCAGGTTAATGTAGTACCTGCAGCAGCTGCTCAGCAGTTAAAAGCTATTCTGGGGAATTGTGTGGATTTCTGGAAACGTGCTGTGCCAGCTCTGAAGCGGGGTCGTTGCCTCCTTTCCGGGAAAGTGCTGTACTTAGTCCATGGAAAGGAGGAATTGGTGATTCATACTCCTTGGACAATCTCCACTTTCTCCTCCCTCCCTGACCACCCCCCACCTCTCACACACAAAAAAGAAGAAAAGAGAAGTTGCAGTGTGGCTGTGGGAGGGGCAAGGGCCATTTTAAGGAAAGTACACATCTGCACAAACTTCACACATCGTCGCTGTCAGCAGGGAGCTGGAAACACAGTTGCAACAAGATTCTGTGTGCTACCAGCAGTAGAATGAAGCGATTTGCACCCTGACAGCTTTGGACCTGTGCTTTGCAGCCACTGCCACTTAAAATAAAGGCTGCTTGAGCATCTCTTGTTAACATACAGAATTTCCAAGCACAAAGGCCTAGGAGAGCTTTTGGCACTCAGAGAGAAAAAAAAAAAAAAAAAGAGGAAATGTTTGTTACAAGGTTTGAACGTGAGATGAAGGATTTCCTGATATGAATTAGAATAGGCTGAGATAAAGTTGAAATAGTTATTATTCCAGAAATTATTAAGTACAGCTGATAGAATATTTATACCCTCCTACTTTCCAAACCCAAGTTTGCTGTGCTGGGCCCTTGAGCAAAGAGCAGTTTATGGAGTAGAAGCTGGGAGTTGCTGCATGGAGGAGCAGGCAGAAATAAAGGCAAGGAAGAGAAAGGCAGAGGCAGCACTAGTGAGCAGGCAGTAGATGCTCACGTCAGTATCATTCATACCTAAGTTTAAAGCCTCCAGAACTCCTGAAATGAAATCTATTAAGCAAGATGAATGCAGCTAATTTTTTTCCTTTTAAAAAGGTACTTTACTCCAAGTGAGCCTGGCATTCTTTGGCTGTAACTACTGCAAAGTGGGATAAGCATCAACTTCGGTGCTGCTACAAAACGTGAAAGGGAGTCACAGCCCCTTCGCCCAGCACCGCCAGCCCCTGCTGCTGCCCCCAGCCCAGCAGAGGCCCTGGGGTCAGGCAGCTCCGTGAAGGGGGTGAATGGCAGCCTGCCCTCAGCACTTGTCCCTCTGTAAGAACATGCTCCCGTTAAGACTGTTCACATCCAGCATCTCCTTGTTGTAGACTCTTGTACTGCAAAGTTGAAAAAAACCCAGCTAGTTTTCTTTCCATGCAATCAAAAATGATGTGGTCACCTCCCTGCAAGGACTTTGTAAGCATCCAGGATTCCTGCTTGAGAAACTCTGGAGATAACAAACAAAACTAGCAAGAGTCCTATTTATAAGCATGAAAAAATAATTAATTTGTCCCCTTTTAATCGAAAATGTAAAAAGGACTTCAGCTTTAAATAAGACATTTTGTACAAAGCTTGAGCACAAAAAAAGTGAACACCAACGTGTCATTATGTAAACACCACAAATGTTACTCATTTGTTCAGTAATGCACAGAACAGCGTGCAAGCTCACTTTCCAGTGGATTAGATTTCTGTAGCTGGTCCCCTCTCTCCCCCTCAGACTTTACTGGAATACAGGAAACCCAGAAGCTTTGGAACATTTACAAAGCTACAGTAGTCAGGATACATTGTGACTAAAAGATTATTGTTTTTTCTTTAAGGGATTGGTCATTTAAATATACAGAAGTACAATAATCTCACAGATAAATGAATGGCAGCTTGGATTAGAAAAAGCACCAAAATATTTAATATACATCTGGCACAAATTCCACAAAAAGTCAGTAATGGACAACCCAATGCTTTGTTTATAAGAAAAGAAAAACCTCAGACTGCACTTAATGCTCTTCTTCCAAAAGGGACACGACAAAAACATTGCACTCAGGATTGCTATCAAGTAAAGACAACCTTCTTATTACAACTTATTTGCATTGTGCCTTAAATTGCACATTCTGTAAGATGATGCTTCCATTCTGTTCCAGACAACAATGGTGAGCAAAATATGACATAAGAAAAGTGTAAAACTGCAAACCAAATGGGACTAAGTAGATGTATCATCTTGACTTCTCCCACTTCTCTAGATCATGGTTTCAAATTTGGCCACATCCCTTTAAAAAAAAGATCCTACATGAAACAGAATTGACTCCAGCCATTTTCAAGCATTACATTTACACAGCACTTCTGATACTGCTATCTGAAAGAGGAAGCACGGGTCTGCTCCACAACAAGCAATACATTCATCATTTCCCAGAGCGAGAAAATTGGATCATACATCTCTCGGGTAAATCCAAAAAGTCAAAAACCGCTCCTGACACAAAGAACAGCAGATTTGATCCTATTCACCCTTGCTGGTTTACGGAGGAATTAAGAGATTGGTCAGCTAGTTGTATTCAAATGTGATTCAATGAAAGCTGCACAAAGGTGTGCGCTCGTTATTTCCTTTGTTAAAATCAGTTACTTCTGTGGGAGCAAACACTACCAAAATGCATTCCTTCCATAAAGGCCAACTTGAGGATAAATTGGGGCCTCAAGATCCACAAGCAAGTGCTCCAAGAAATCCAGCTGCATCAATGAGCTCTCCCAGGCTGACCCTCTCCACGCAGCCTGTCGAGGACTTGCAGTTGCTTCATGCCCTCAAGACCAGCCAGTACAAACCCCAGTAAGTGTTGGGTCAGGACCTAATCCTGCCAGTTGCATCCATGGCTCTTGGAACTCAAGTTACTCAACAACTAACAGCAGGAGGCCCTCCAACCACTCCTGCCAGCCCATCTCCTTTTAAAGACTATTTTAAACTGACAGATAAGAAAGCAAGCATATTTTTAAGGTAACTATGTTTAGCGTGACTTACAAAGTCACAACTTCAAAATATTAAGCACTATTCTGTGAAGTCCTCTAACATGTAATACATATGGGAGTATAAAAACAGCAGCCAGCCTTCAGCTCCACTGATCCTCCGTGCAGGTTTGCCACCTCTGGTCACACAACCTCCGCTCTCATGGGCCCAGAGAAGAGCAAGACTCAGCAGTTGTAACTGCATAAAATGGCAACATTCAAGTAAACACACTGGTTCAACAGTAGGCAACCTTTAGTCCAAATATAATTTACAGGGGAAAAAGAAAAGCACTTTACACTAAGAACACTGGAGATGGATGGTTTTTTTCTGTGTCTGAAATGACATCCAGAAAGGGCTTATCTGAAGAGTGCAATCATGCAAAGATAGCTTTTTTTTTAAAAAAAAAAAAAAAAAAGTATAACCTCCAAAACCTGTTGGATTTTAAAACCCAACTACAAAAAGATGGAGGATTGCAATAGTATCAAGGAACTGCTGTAACATCAGTGATTTAAGGCAAGCTGTTAACAGGACTAGTACGTTCATGCTCCTTTTATTGTCTCACACATCCCCCCCTTCTCCTGACATATGTGCCCCTACAGATAGTGCAAGAGGTCACACCCCAAAAGCAGCCCTCGTACTGGAAGAAGAATCTTGTAGCAACAAGTTGCTGCAGCATAGCATCGATTTGAGATTTGCAATGATGATAGTTGTGGTGTGGTTTTCTTTTGGGGGAGAAAAGCAAGGGACACAGATGTGTTGTATGGAAGAGACACCACCTAAATGCATTAATGAATACAATGTGAACACTGAAGCCTCTCTGGCATCCACAACACTGTTGAGAACACTCCAGCTTTGCTCAAGTGTAAGCATTTTATCCTGAGCCAGATTCTGACCTCAAGGAGGAAAAGGATGTGTACAGCCTTTGTATTTCTGCAGCTCCCATCTTTGCTGAGTGTTACAGGTCCAGTCCCACATGGAACAAAACTCAGTATTTTCAATCAGAAGAAAAATACACTCATGGCACTGCATCAGGTCTAAAAGTTTTCAAGGGCAATTGAAAAGGCTGATGGCTCCCTCTCGGGGAACAGCTGCTGCATCTTCAATTTACTGTCAGTACAGGTAGGCTGACCAGAGGAGGTGGGATGATGAAAGCCCCTGAGCCACATGCAATGTGGCCCTACTCGGTCACTCTATTGCACTCCAAAACTAGCACATGGGAGGACCAACACTTTTGTTTGCAGCTTGACTTGGCTCCCTTTCGAAGGGTCAACTGCTTGCAGATTAAAAGCAGTATACCAAAAAGTATGGCAAATAGATAATACTTAACTTGGGTCAATTAAAAAACTAGATTATTCAGAGAGGCATAAATTCCTGGGAGAAAATGATGGTAACCTTAAACTATTCAAGTCTAAGAACAAGAGGTAGAGATACCTATGTACTTCATGGTGAAGGAGTTACAGCCTTCTGTCTTACAATCTCATGTATTTCACTTCAGTTGACAATACAAAACCAAAGAGTCAATCTTCAATAGTCCAGAAAGAAAATTTTAACACTGGTGGTTTTGTTTGTGCACAAGAAAGTTTAAGCAGACAATTAGCTTTCAACACTTATCTGAAAAAGTATTTATGTTTTGCTGTATATTGAAACACTACCCTGAAGAATTTTGAGGTTCAGGTTAAGCATCTTCCTTTTTAATAGGAAAGGCTAAATTCACATGCACACGTATTGAGCAGAGTGAGCTCGAGGGAAGAACTGGTGCCCAGTGTACCAAGGATCTTCTAAAAAAGGATCACACCACAGAACACAAGGCTGCAAGACCAAGAAACTCACAGTGACTATTATTTTCCGGCAAATTGGAATGATGTAACCTCAGCCAACAAATTACATCACAGCTGAGGTGACTATTAACTATGTGGTGTTTCTTTAACTTTGCTGGACTTTCTGGAAACAAGGCTTAGGATTGTAAGGAAGATACTTATGTTGACATCATGAAAACACTAAGGTCACTAGTCATTGCATAACCATGTCTGGGAACCACGGGTGGCAGGCTAGCCCTGGGATCCATGGGTTCTTCAGGTCTGACAGACATGCAAGGAGTGAAATAAGTGTCACACAGGCACATCTGCTGCTGCCCCCAGCACTCCGAACCCCCCACCTGGCAGGCACCCTGCCCTGGGGAAGAGGGGCTGCATCTATCTGCAACCAACCCCCAGTCGCTTGCTCAGCAGCAGAGCAGGGTGAACTCGTTCATGCTCTTAAATGTGCTTGGCTGAGAAGCTACGGTGGTTCGGAGGCTGATTCATGAGCAGATCTGCCATGCCAGCCTGGGGAAGCCAGTGCTTGGCAGACTGAACTGTCACAGGCTTCGGCTGTCTGATTTTATGCCACCTGCCACACCTTCATGGATTTTTCCTATGGTTCTTTCATTACAATTGCACAGTATTAAAAAGCTGTAATTCTCCATATAGAATAGCACCAGCAGCAAGTAAACTCACAATTCAGTGTTCAATTCCAATTAATTTCCTCAGTCATGTTTTATGGCCAGCTATAGGCAAAATCTTTCAAATCCTTACTTGAATCAATAAATAGTCTTTGACCTCAGAAATGCACCCACACAAGTAAAAATTAGCACAACTGAGCCTCCAGTTGATCCAGGAGCCAGATTTTAAAAGTGTTGCAAACTATAATATAGTGCAGGTGGTCAGTGTTTTATTACTGGGGACTAAAGTTTACAGGAGTTGTGTTTCTTTGCATGTAAAGGAAGGCAGTAAAATGCCAAGAGTGTGGATGTCAGACCAGTTTTCCAGTATATTATAATAACTATTTATATAGTTATCTATAGTTATTTATCCCAAGTTGCAGCAGATTCACTACACGCATAAAGTTTTCTAACACATACCCTAATTAACAAAAAATTAAATAGTTGCAATGGTTTCAAGGATTTCATCAGCATCATTGCTCATTACAGCCCTGTGCCCTACACAATAAAGATTTAAATGATATATAAAAACGAAGAGTGAATGTATTTGGCCTGTTCCACAGATATTCACAGTTTAACCATAAAACAAGCATATCTTCAGAGGCTCCAATATTGTTAAAGACTTCTCAGAAACATGTACAAACTCCTACTCCCACACAGGAACACCAGCATCACAGAGTACGCTCTGGTCTCGTTTAGGATCAGAAAGTCACCAGGCAATCCAGGGGAGGTCTGACGCCCTCTCTCTCAGCACTGCCACAGAATTGCACCTTCAGCTCCTGGTTCAGCAGTTAAAAACTGATACAGGTCTGGTTTGCATGCTGTAAAGGGTAAGTTAGGCTAAAAATAAATGGTATTTTGCTAGATAGTTCCTTCGGCCATTTTCACAAGTATTTTACGCAGTGGGAGTTGCTCCTGCTAGGCTGAAAGCAGTAGAGCAAGAGCAAGGCTGTCCTCTCCTACTGAAACCATGGGACTGAAGCTACTGAGAACTGTATGTCCCTTCTCCAGCAGGAATAAGATTTTTCCATTCCTGTATATTCACCATCACCATTTTTAAAACCAAGCTGTATTACATTTGATACATTAAAATGGCCAAGCCTTGATATGCCCCAGATTGATTTCCTTACTGCTATCCATGCTCAGACCACAAGATAAACATCTTGTTTCAAGAACTCTACCCCTCACCCTTTGGAGCTGCTGCAGTTCAGTGTATAAATTAGTAGCAGCCACTGCCATGATCTTACATGCATGCACTGACTATCCATTTGAATAGTTTTCATACTCTGGACACTTTAAATACCCTTTAAGAAAAAAAAAAAAAAAAAAGTGATGAACAAAGCATTTAATAGCTGAATGAGTAGTCTCAAACTTATAAATACAGTCTTAATTTACTATCAAATCAGTCTCCATTTGGAGCTTTTGCTAACAAAGCAGCCTCTGTTGGGGAATTTTTTTTTTCTTTTTTTAAAAAAAACAGCACCAGCAAAAGTCTCACCATAAATTCAATTACACCAGCACAAGTGCTTTGCGTGCTTTGCTCACCAAACCAGGATAAGGTTTTGATGCCAAACATCACTTGTACCATGGTTGTTTGGAAGGTTAGAGTAGCAAGGATAAAACTTTGGGTATATTTAACTATAATAGACCAAGTTCAGGGCTCCCCTCCTGCAAAGGAACAGACTCAGCTGCATCTTTTTCCACAGCTTAAAGCGTCTCCCCCAGCAAGAGCTGGCAGAAGCAGCATGCACCAAACTCTCCCTTTACTAGATCAAAGAGATGCTATCTGTGGCTTGTGGGTTTGTTTCTAAACAGTTTTCAATACGCACATTTTGTTAAGTGATTTATGGTCTCAGACCCAAGCTATTGCATAGGCTGTGCACCAGCAAAGCCAGTGACAGAGTTCAGGCAGATCCTCCTCCTCTCTCTGCTAACCCCTGTGGGGCACAGCAGATGTGCCAAGCATGCCTTCCTGGATCCAGTGACAAGCTTGCCACTTAAAATCTGTTTCCCTTTAGCTTTAAAACCCCTATATCACAAAAGCCATTAGATGTTATGGATGACTGTCCAGGGTTTTTTTTGGTTTGGTTTGGTTTTTTTAATTGAAGCCATTTTATGATCCTGAAATGCAGCTCTGAAAACAAAAGGTGTGTAATGGAAGTGTATCAAATTCATTAAGCCAGTACTTAGCTCTATAGAAAGCCTTGGCAATCATCCCTTTTACCAAAAGGTGTAAAAAAGTTGACATACTTAAAAAAGGTAGCATCAATAACCAAAAAAGTTTCAACCAGTGTTAATAAAACTCCCTTTAAGTCACAAGTTTCAACAGGCAAATAGTCCCAATACAGGCATTGTAAAATAATAAATTGACTCCTATCCAAATATTATCAAATCAGTCTAAAAACGACTCATCTACACTGTTGTCATTAAGAACACATTAAGAATTCACTTTGTCATCAGATGCCGATATTGTTGCTCCAGAAAGTGTGGAGTATTAACTGCGATTTAGCAATTAAACATAGGTTTTAAAAAATTGGTTCGTCAATATTAATGCAAAAGATAGTTCCTTACATAGAAGTACTGTGCTTGCCAGACAAGTAAGATAATACTTTAGGTATAAATCAGACAAATTAAAGCAGAATTATACCACAGTTTTCCTTGAAGACTTAGGGTTTGTGTGTTGCTTCTGTCAATGTTTAGCAAAGTTAAGAAGCAGAACCTTTGGTTCTTTTAGTCAAGTAAAAATATTCTCATGTAACCACAAAAATACAACTTCCAGAGAAAATGGAAGTCCATCAAGAAGTCCACTTTCAATAAAACTGAGGTAGTACTGCTCTTTTATTACATGATGTGTAAGAGATTTAGATACAAATCATTATCTACCACTCAGTTGACTGACAGGTACAGTAATTTTATAAAACAATCCCAACATTTAGTTTGAAATTCCAAAAAAAGGAATGATCTGGACTCATTCGCTAAGAGTTAGCTTAAAATGGGAACTAGCCATATTACAAAAAGCTGTTGCTTACTTTGTTTTTTAGAGCCTTATTACCAGGGGATTAATGCATTTATAGTTAACAGTTAACACTGCTGTTCATCATGGTATAAAACCTTAAAATTATTACAGCCTAAAATGTCAACAATGTAAACAGCACTACACACAGTACAGACCTGCCCTGACAGATGTAGTATGAAAAACTTAATCTGGCACTGTATAATTTAGCAATGTTAATTTAACCTAACTAAAATGATCTACATTGTGCAAGAAATATCAGACTTACTTATACTAATCTGAAGTCTTAAAAAAAAAAACCCCAAAAATGCTTAACTTGTAGCCAGGGTCAAATATTTCAGGGCAAGAGTAAAAGGAATAACCAAAATTAAGAAAGTGCCTAAAACATGATACAGCATTTTAGAGCCCTTTCAAAGACAAGGCAGAAAAAGGTGTAAAGTAGAAAAATCTGGAGCCTCAGTAATTTCCAGAAACATCCAGAGTTTACATTTCATGAAGGGCAACAGGCTGCTTTTGTCACTGCTGCTTCAACATCGCTAAGTCTGTTCCTCCGCACACAGGCCCTCTGTGTCCGAAGACGTAATACATTTGGTTTCCTCCTCCTTTTTCCTTCGCTCCATTTCCCACTCCACAAAGGTATCGAAGAGACTCGGCCAGGCCTCGTCCTCACTGTAGTTGCTAAGGTCCGGTCCAATCACCTGAGTAAAATTTAGAAACATGTTCCATGTGTCCCGGGAGATTCCCTTGATTCCTGAGGGGTTCTCGACTAGGAAGTGTAACCACTGGTCCAAAATGGGGGGCTTGTTTTGGGTGAAGACTAATTTCCAAAGGGCAATGGCTATTTCCCGATGTAGCGACCTCTGTCCTTCTTCAGAGTCCAGACCGAACTGGAAAGTGAAACGATAGAGATCCTTGAATTTATCTTCCTGCTTGGCTTCATTTAAGAGGCTGGGGAACCTTGCACAAATGCCATCAATGCTGTCTGCGTTTATTGCTTTGCAGCCTTCAAAAAACTCCTTCCTATTAAGCAAGAGAAGAGAAATTAGTGTGAGTACTTCCCACTGACCTCACACACTGCACACTTCCCATCTCCATTCAGCTACGTCAAATCAGAAGAGGGTTATCAGGACAAGACAAGGTGTGAGCTCAGCCCAGGTGGCACAAAGAATTTGGCAACACAAGTTACTGGAAAGAGAGATGTTTCCAAGAAGTTTCTCATGGCCCGGGGAACCACACACACCCCTCAGATCTGCTGGGGCACTGTGAGCATTTGAAAGATTTTGCTGTCTGCCTGACTACTCAATCTTACCATATCCAATGACTTGCACATTAAAAAGTGAATAAAATTTACCAAAGAAGAAATGCTAAATGTTTGAAAACACCACATTCACGCAGTGAAGTACCATATATTAACCAGCTTGATTCAATATTGCCCATGTCTAAACACCTATGCTCTGGGCGAGCTGTTCTCAAGAGAAAGAGCAGATCACTGGTGGCTTTCCTGTGGTTTTTGGTTGCTCTTCCAGCCTGTAAAATAAAAAAGGTGCCAATGGCGATAGTCAGCAAGGCATCCAGCAAGAGAGTGGAAGAGAGCCCGGCATCACACAATGCAGGCTACAGCACAACATATAAACACTGCTCGAAGCGCCAGCCTACACTAATTAGCCCACTAATCATCTGGCCAAGTGGGTAGATGGTTAGCTCTGATTTCTCTAATGCTCATGAGCAAGTGTTATAACCAGACAGTATTAACCAAAGCCAGCAGAGTCTGACGTGGGACGGGCTGGAGTGAAGACAGGAGATGGGGCAGTGCTCAGAACAGACAACCTCATTGCTTTCCTTGAGGGAAGAAGTCAGTCAGCATGCCTTTAAACAAAGGTAACCTTCTCCACTAGATTTGCCCTCTCCAAGAAAATCAAAACGATGTTAATAAAACTCACGGTGATTGTGCAGAATCCCAAACAGTACTTGCAATTCCTTTACCCTGTTAGCAAATACCTGCACCATCAGCCTCCAGTAAATCCACATTTGCATTCCAGAGTAACTCATCCATTTGACACACACCCACATCCACAAAAATGCTGCAGATGCTGGAAAAACTATCTGTGTTCAGTGCACGGCAGAGGCTCAGAACACCAAAGTAATTTTGAAAGTTATTTGCCAGGTAAAAATAGGTAGCATTACTCAAATCAATCTAGACAGACCCCCCCCCCCCAAAAAAAAAAAAAAATGTTCCATTTTCTCTCAGCAAGCCCCTGTAGAAAGTCTTTACTTGGTCTTACCTGGACAGTGTAGTCAAGTGGGGGAGGGGGGAAAGCTGTTGTAGTTTTGAGTTTGGGTTGTTTTCTTTCTTTTCTATTAAGTTTTAGCTGTTCTGTTTCCTGTAGCACCAGATATGCTATAAGCCTGGTGACTGACCCCCTTGTCCAGAAGGACAGACAGCACTTTAAATACCAATCACTTGTCAGCCAGTATGAAACACCTACCAGTGTCAAAAACCTCGTGTTTCCTTCCCTCTCTATGCTTTAACAGGATTACTCTCAGAAAACGACATTATGTGCAACACTGGCTGGGCAGGAACAATTCTTAAGCAGCAGTCTGTCATTCTTTCACAGAACAATAACAGAGTTAATAGTAGTTACTAAGGAATCTCACATTAAAGTAAAAATTAATTTCAGTGTCCAATAACCACCAAGATAATTCCAGATACTGCAAAATTGCTTTTGGTAAATCAAGAATAAATGAATGTCTACAAAACCTCACTACACTGTTCATGATTAGCAGCATAATGTCCAAAAACACATTTTTGGTACTGAAATGCACTGTGAGGGAAACAAGAAAAGAGGACAATACAAAGCTTACCTTCTGCAGTGGTAGGAATTAATTTGATCAAAATGCAAGTGTTAGAAGAAATAAGTGAAGCTAATGAGGCTGTCTCTCCAACATACAGATGACAGATACTTTAATATATGAAAATAATTACAAGTTCTACAAGAACTAACCTTGTAAATTTGCACATGGTAGCAGCCTGGAATTTCCAAGCCAAAACTAGCACTTTAAATTCAGTGGGATCAACACAGAGGTCATTGCAAAATCGTTCCATTCCTTCTTCCAGTATGGCATCCTCCCGTTCATCCTTATACCTCCTAAATAACTCCCCAATCCTTTGGAGGGAAGATTCTTCTGCGCTGGAAACAGAGTCCTTCTTTGTATCTCCAGAAAACGTTGGAGGCTGACTAGACTCTACAGCAGCATCTGTTTTCTTTGTCCCATTCACAAGTATATCTCCTGCAGGCTTCCCGCAAGCTGAACCATGGTCGTCTTTGTGGACTGCACTTCTCTTACTGTGTGACTTGCTGCCGGATTCCCTTTCCCCATTTTTGCTGCCAAGGGTAGAAGAAGGATTCTTGCACTTCGTGACACACTGGCCCATGATGGTGCAAACCCAGCGTCTAGAGTGGTCCCCTTGCTGTCGGACACCCTCGCAGATGCTCTTCAACACATCTCACCATGCCATTAGCAGCAGTCAACTAACCTGAAAAACAGTTTCAGAGTCAAATTGCCGTTTCTCCACAAAGAATATTATAAGTATTAAATGTGGGATAACATTCCCCAGTAAAAGACCAACTTCAGGATATTTAAGTTTAAGTACTGAAAAGGAGTAGTGTACAGAAGGTTGGCACATGCCATAAATTTCAGGCAATTTCAGGCTGTTTTACCTAGAAATCAATGCAGCTCACTCAGTGGCCACAGTATACTAACGGGTCCTAATAAAGGAAATTCCTAAAATTCTTACTGTAACATAGGTTACAAAGAGGTTGATTCATGTACAGGCTTCATCAAGACAGACTACTCTAATGCAGAAATATTTTAAAGGAAATGTTTTTTTAAAGTATACCCACATTTTATATATAAAATATAAAACACTGAAACAAAGCAGTGGTGGGGCAGGGACACTGACAGGACAACCTGGCAAAAACTTAAGCAGTAGATTTAGCCTGTACCTTCAGCAGATGGGCAAAATGGGTTTTGGGGGTGGGTTTGGGGGTTTCTTTTTTTGTGGGGTGGGGGAAGTTGTGGGTTTGGGTTTTTTTAAACAGAGTTTGGAACTTAAATTTTTGTTCTTATAAACAGAGCACGTTTGCAGAAAGGAGGCAACACTCACTTTTCATGCAAGATGGTGTTTAGGAATTATTGTTTCAAGTAGGCTCCTCCCTTCAGGTAACAAGACAGACAGGGGGAGGGAGACATTTCAAACACACATGCAGATAAGAAGTAGTAATTCCAGTTCAGCTTTTTTAAAAAAAATCAAAATTAAAATGCCAAAATTATTTCATCATACTCTGTTTTTATAAATCACAATGTTAAAGCCTTGCATATTTGTAAAAGATACTTTACCCACAGAAGAGGGTTCTTAAATTTTCCCTATTAAAACCAAACTAACTCTGACACTATCCTATCAGCATGCAGTCACACCACGGACAGACCATTTCTCAGAAACATCAACTCCAAGAAAGCAATTGCTTATCATATTCCTCCTTTACCCACTTATTCGCATTCCATCTCTGCTGTCAGTTAGGCAAAAGCCTCAAACATAAAAATTGGGTTTATCTTGTCTTTGCTTACTGCTTCCAGGTTACAAAATTAGAACAAGAAATAAAAGAGATAAAAATTTAAAATGAATAAATAAAATAGATATTGTGTCAGTTTTTCTGTATTCTTTCTTGGGTAAAGCTCTTCTGAGACTGAACCTCTGTTTTAAGCCGTAAACCAACTTGGAACTATATGCAGATGACTGCTCCAGAAATCAGGATTAAAAACACAAATCTTCTCTCTGCCATTATACCTGTTCTGGCAAAACAGCACATATGCAGTTTCACGAGAAAAAAAAATAATCTTTTTGCCAGTACAACTACAACAACCAAGATGCTGGTTTCAACTACCTGGCTTCCCTTCCCATCTCCAATGCCTTTTCTTAAACCCATAATCCACAAAACTAAGAAAAACCAGAAAAACCTATTTTTAAGCAGCAGAAGGAACAAACATCTGGTATGTCCTTTCATCAAACTGCTTTAAAGCTGAACTTTGTAACATCATTTTTATAGGCGCATAAAGTTCAATCTAATGTAATTAAGAATAATCCCTTTTTCATTTGATTTTAAAGGATTTATTAAAATCTGCATTTCCACATAAACAACCCCAAAGCCAATTTCACTGGTCCTTAATACCTCACAGCTCTTTGAATTGCAGAGTACAAGCCTGGCACTTGTTCCTGTGTGGCCGTGCGTCTGAACAACATCATCTTCTCCAGTCTACACCAGTCATTTTTTCATTACACCAAAAGAAACTGGATATTATTAGGCAATTTAAATTACTGCTTAGTGATTAACTCCCAGATACCAACCCCCCCACCCACCCCCCTGCATCAGAATTCAAATGCTCAATCTACAGTAATTCTTGTTCTTCCATCGGTTGCTCAAAGGCAGCTAGCACTACTTTGGCTAAGTTTTTCTTCAGAGAATCATGCAAGTAAAGGAACAGAATAAAAAAATCCCAAGTAAAACCTAGTATTAGAGTTTAGCTAGTTTATAAAACTTTCTGCTCAAACATATAATAGCAGTTATTAGCTGTTGGGGATTCAGAACAGCTTTTCCCTATGGACAGGTTAAAGAATAGCTGCCTTCTAATGAATAGTACTTTCCTCTAAAGTAGCCAGTAGTAGTCAAATCACACACAGCATAATGGACAGCGGTGATTCCAACTCACTTTAGGAATCCCAACTTAAAGTTTAAAAAAAGGGAGTTTGCAAGACTACCTTAGATACTCTGTCCATAAATTCTCTTAGCGAACTGATTCATGCTGTCATGCTTCCTAAGCAACAGCTTGTGTTAATGATGGGAAAATCTAATATTCGAATCTACAAAGTGACATCACCAGTGTGATGAAACAGATGGGGTTTATTGTCATTTCCTGTCATGAAAAGCCAGCATTACAATACACGGAGGGACTCAGCCAGCATTATTAAACACCTATATGTGAGGAAGTGTCCCAACAGCTGTTTCTCAAAACCACTGGAGAGCTCAGCGTAACATTAACCCACGGAGTGCAAGTTAACCACGTCCCCTGCAGCATACCCCTCTGACAAGCACGTTTTCTGTACTCCAACCTACCTGCCTTACAAGGAGCTGACTGCTGCTCCTGAACAGCCACTGCCTGGGCTCTGCTAGCACTGCTCTTCCCTGCAGTAAGAGAGTTCTTCCTTTCTCCTCCCTGCCGTGGAGGTTTTCAGAGCATAATCTTACTCATTATGAACAAACACTAGAAGATACTGAAATACAGTTGCTGCAATTCCTTTTCTACTACATGAAATTTGATGTCACATGCCAGATACTTTGAAGCATTCTATCCCAAAAATAGCAAAACCAACTTGGGAAAAAAAAGAAAAAAGTCAGACTGCATCCACTGACAGTTTGTGCATGTATCTGGTTTTGTAAGAGAAAAGTCTTTTGGCGCTCCATCAGTTACCCTTTTATAAAATGCCTTCACTGAGCTGGATCCACTTCACTTACCAGTCACCTCCGCTTCCTACATGACTCAGGTTTCAAGGCATGAAAGGAACAAGAGCCTCGGAAGGAGACAGAAACAAGTGGGAGAACTCGGCCCTTTTGTTAAGGAAGGCTGGAGAGAGGATCCGATTGCAGCATCAGGAGCTGCACTGAACTCAGTGTTCAAGGATTATGAAAAAGCACTCTCAGGAAAGTCAACAGAGCTACTCATTTAACTGCAGAGCAGAGCAAATGCCACATCTAGGTCGTGCCGATTACACTTAAGTGAGCACAAGGATGTGCAGAGATATATCTCCCAGCTGGATGGGGAACTACAAGTATAAAATTCACATGTACCCAAGGTTATACTGGATTGACGGCAAAGCACCATTTCCAAAAGGATCAGATCCCAAGAGAAAAATTACTGTAATAGGCTTGTACAACGTAACAGTGAGACACAAAATGCAGCACTGACCACTAGTTTTGCTAATCTACTACAAAAGATCAAAATCCCGGGCTAAGGTTGGAACATACTCAGTGCTACAGGATGCAATACTCCCAAAGAAGTTTGATTACTCAGACAAGTATTGAGCAATAACCTACAGTAAATATGAATCACCAAGATGCCCACGAGGCCATCTTCCACGTAACAGGAACTGCAAAGCAGAGATCAACAATGATGTTCTCTGCTTCTTTCTAGAAGGGAGTAAGAAACTGGAAACACAGGAAGCTTAGTGCTGGTGAATACAGACAGTTAAAGAAAAGCCACTCTCTAAGAACAAAGGATGTGTTGAATTGTATTGCCCAATATATTAAACATAAACTCTAGAGAAGATTGGAAAGACCCTACTAATGCTTGGGTGGGGCATTTTGTTTTGGCTTGGGTGGGGTTTTTTTAGGTTTCTTTTTGGTTGTGGGTTGTTTGGGTTTTAAGTGCTGTAAAGCAATTAGTTTTTCTCCATTTTCAAGTGACCAGATCTCATGTAACCCAAGATTTGAAGGGAGCAAAACAACAAAGTGACTCAGTAATAATTCTCTGTCATACAAGCACAACATGGCACAATTGAAAATGGCAACACTGAAGACAGGGAGACCTGGCAGGAGGAGAGAAGATGCAAAGGAGATACTTAAGTAACCCTGTATTTTTCTTTAATGACCAACACCATTGTAGTAATAGAAATTATTGGATATGTCCAGAGAATAACAAAACACAGGCAATCATTATGCTGTTTAATAAAAGCACTGCATCAGAATATATTTACAATGAGTTTCAAAACACAGAAAATATCAAGACAGAAGAAAAAACCCTCCATACATTCAAGAACAGCTCAAAGACAAATTTAGGAAATCTCAAAACAAAAGGGGACACAGCTCAGTCAACCATTAAATCCCTCTCCAAGTAGCAGTTCACTAGCTAAGGCAAAGACAACATTACCAGAGCTTAACTAAGTCTCAACCCAGCCTCAATTTTTTGCAAACACTTGAGCATGGTCTGTAAGAATTTTACAGAATTTCACTATGCATTATCTACCTTCTAGTGGACAGGGTTACATGACTTCTAACTAGCTGAGAGTAGTGAACAGTATCATGGGCGCCCCATCTTTTCACAGCTCTGAACAGATACACGCAGCTTTCTACTGGGGAGGCACAAGAGGATCATTGTAACTGCTGAAACAGAAGCAATCGCTGCTCCAACAGTTGATGCTGGGCAAGTGAACTTGTAAGCAAACATCTAATACTTACATAGTTTCAGCTACACAGGGAATCATTCCATTAGCTTCACAGCCTCCTTCCGGCTCCCTGGGTTCCACATGGAACGCTGTAAGACAAAAGACCACACACATTTTTTATTTAGAAGGGGCTATGAAAAGCATAAAATGCACCAAATCACTCAAACACAACTATGCATTTAATAAAATCCTTCATAGCCAAAATCCATTTGCTGTAAGAGTAATTTTATAAAACTACTTCACTTTGACTTAAAGTAGCATTAATACCATTAACTCTTTGCTGTCATATAAATCATAGATCAGGTACTGAATACAATCAACAAGTTCAAATGTTTGTTAGGAGTAAACACACACTTCCGGATACTTTTATGGCTTTTAGCATGGGAGAGTTAATTCCTCATTTCATGCACTCAAAGCAAAAGAGAGGACATGCTATCATTGTCAATGCATGTTAGCTAAGCAGCTGTTTAATCTGTGAATTCCAGACAGCTGCTACCTAGCAAAGCATAATTTGGGTCTAGAAAGTAATTCTCTTTTTTTCATTCTCTAGCACATTCTTTTCCATGTTTGTTTTCCCATGTTCTGTTGAGCTGGCTCAACTGCACTTCTCTTAAATTCCCAGCTTGACTACATAACTACAAAGCTCTGAAGAAAAGATGACAAAGTTCTGTCTGGTTTGTGTAGCAAGAGCTACAACCATAGCACCTAGTCAACACCTCTGTTTGTATCTGATCTAGAAAAAAACAAAAAACAACACAACACAAAAAACAAGCAAGCTCTGGCAAAGCTCCTCTGCTCTACCATACCAACAGAAACACTAAAACCTCTTGTTTTTACAGCTCTTAGTACATCTAGGGAGCAGACAGGTGATCAAAAGCTGCCTTTCTGCATACTTACTTTTACATGAGACATATTCCTTAGGAAACAAGTAGGAACATTAGCTTGTTCAGTGTTTTTTTCAGTAGAAAGTAAGGAATGGATGTAGGAAGACAATTATAAAACAAGTTCTTACTGCACATGCCAATCTCCACATAAATTCAGTTTTCCCCCAAACTTGAGTCCTATACATGGATTAGGACAAATTTGACCAACAAATAAAGCCTAGTTCAAATCAAAGCTTTTAAAAGCCCATGGAAACAGGCATCCAAAATGCTTCAAAACCCTTAAAGTAGTACTTTCACCCCATAATTCAGACACATGGAGCAATAACATATCTCTGCCGAAGCATTTTTAAGGCATTTATTTTTGAGATGGATAGTTCAAAAATTCTACTTCACTCTGGATTTATATCCTCTGCTTCCAAACCCCATCTTCAACAGAAACAACAACCCTTCTGCCCCCCGCTCCAGCCTCCCAGCCTTTTAGCATACACTCCTGCAGGAAGGGCTGCCCTGTGCAGGTGCACGGCCACCAGCCAGCTTAAATCTGTATGGGAGCAGAGGAGCTCCTGCCTCTCTCCTGGTGGAAGTACTAGTTTGGATTTCTTTCTATTTGACCATAATATCCCATGAATTTCAAGAATTTAAGGAAATGTAAAATCTGGCATTTCTATGTTAGTTTCTTTTGGTTCCCTGCAACTAAGTAATTCCTTTTATAAATCATCAGGGGAGGAAAGAAGAGACAGGAGGGACACCTGGCTCTGTGCAGCCTCATTCCCCTGGGAACCTGTTTAAATTGAAGCGAAGCCACATCTTACACTTCACATTTTAAAAATCATTGTCATGGCAACTTTATGCAACAAACTAACTACTTTTCAAACAGATTTATATTTCTTTTCAAGAATTCTATGATCCACCAAATCTACATTTCAAGTTGACTACAGCACATACTGGAAGCGAACACTCATTTTAAGTTCAAAAGAAGCTGAATCTGATGGAGTTCAGCTCTAACCAGCAAAAGCCAAACTTTTTCAGGTTGTTTGAAGTAGTTTCCACATTGGCTGACTTGTACATACACACTGTCTGGAGCCAGGAGCCAAAAATTTTAACACGTTCGAACAGCCAGCTACAATTCTTCTCCTATTCTTCCTACTTTTATTGTACCAAAGCTGCCCATTTCACCCTTTTATAATTTTTAATACAGTAGCAAGTGTAAACTTCTGTGACAACACAATTATGGCATGTGGAATAAAAAGTTAGTATGAGTTAGCAGTTAAAAAAACAAGCTCTTCAAGTCTGTATTTAAAGGCTGTCATAGCACAGCAATGCGTTGTGGCTGACTTCATCCTAAATCACACAAGGTGACTGCCGTGGGCGTGGAAAGAAGTATCAACACTTTCATGGCAGGGGTTTTAATTCAGCCCTTGGGTCAGGGTTGCAAACTATAGCTGTATCCTATGATCACCAAGCATCCCTCCCTTGCTGGTGCAGGAGCAGTATCACACTACAGTAACTCGGAAAACAGCCTACATCATTCGTTAGCAATCCCACTCAGCAGTCCACTGGGAAAATATATAAGTAAATGGTGTGCACCCTCAGGATTAGAGGCCTTTGTTTTGCACACCTGCCTCTTTTTGCACCTGTGTCTCACTTCCCCCTGGAACTTTGGCTCTCCTGAGCATGGGTGCAGGAAGGATCACACTGCAGAATACTGCAGTACCAAAGCTGCTATTGCCATCGACAGCAGCCCTCGGCAGCTTTTCCAGGGGAAAAGAGCTGATGGCCTTCTCACAAATCAACTTTCTCCGCTTTTCTGGGGAGAATCAGTGAAGAATTAGTGATAATCATTTCCTTCTTCAGCAGGCAGTTGAAAGGATCAACTCTGCACGTGGAAGATTTTACTATGCAGTTAAGAGTTTTATACTACGGCACCAAAGCACTCGGTGCGTAAGTGTTAAAGCATAAACGAAGCTTCGGTCAGCAAAGCCATCACATGGAAACTGCTTATTTCAAGTCATAACCTGCAACGAAACTTCCTCAGCGAAAGCACTCTGACTCCAGCACCATGGGCACATTATGGGCTTTCATTAGCCCAGAAGACACCTCACCCCATCTCTAACCAAACGCTGTGCTAGCACCAGTCTGTCACACAGATCTGTTCCACACCTCTGCTGCAGAAATACATTTATGTGAAGTTACTTAAGAGGAAGTCTGAAAGCAGGAAAGTCCTGTTGCAATTAGTTAAAATGAATTATTAGTTTGTCAGGCTTCCTGCAGTTCAAGCACGTTTCAACGAACTACAGCCAGGTTATGGTTTTGGGGGCATACAGATGGGAACTCTGTCAATCTGCTCCAAATTGGGATAACAAACTACTTCTGATTAACCTCACTTTGAGCTTTGGAAACCAGATTTAAAAACTTGATCAAACTGGGTAAAATTTGTCTCTACAGAACACACCTGTATCAGAGTAGACGCCACTTATACAGACACATGAAAAAGGCCCATGCAGTTTTGGCTGCCGCTTGGCAGAAGACTAAATGGCTGTCAATGGGAAAACCAAGCCAGACAACATGTATGTTGGAAACCTGAATACCTTCTCAAATGAGAAAGACCATACTGGAAAGGCTTAACTAGTCTGGAAGGGAAGAGAGGGGCAGGTACAAAAATATCTAAAAAAAAATAAATTCAAGTAACAACAGATTCAGAAACTGCTACACCATGCCTACAGTCCATAATGATAGGCCAGCTCTCAGTGCCAGGAACCAGAGCTACCACCAAGCCTCCTTCCAGAAGAAGCCTGATTGCCAGCAAGCAGGAAAAAAATCTCAAACAACTGCACCTTGACATGGTGTGCTGTCACTTCAAGTGCAGTGCTGGGATATTAAGGGAGATTTTTTAATTCAAGACTCTGGGCAGAAGAAACCTGCTTTCTGCACTCTTGAAGAGCACCATACTAAGACACAGGGCATGATACCATATTTCATGTTCAAACTCCAACAGTAGTCTCAAGAGAAACTGGAATAGATGTTTTGGATCTGTAGCTCACTGTGTCCAGCTAATTATAAAAGGTTAGCTTAAGAAAAAAATAAATGATGTGAAAAATGATAGGGAAAGAGAGAATAAAAGCACCTCACTGCTTTTCCTCATGGAAGACACATTCCTTAAGCGGCTTTTTTAGCAGACACACATGCATCATCCTTGAATCCCTTCCTCTCTTTTATACTCTCTAACCACACAATACCTTACTTACCAATTACTTCTCATTGTTTTTCCACTTGGCCCCATTTAAAAGTTTGGAATCCTTTCCTATTATGTGCTTCATCCTACTTTATTAGGTGGGTGGAATGATTTGTTAGGATTATTGTATTTTCACAGAGCAAACCCAAGTCCAGTTAGCTAAATAGCATATAATCTTACAAGGGTGCCTCAAGGGGCTTCTGTAATGTAAATAAATTAATGAACTAATTCACACAGCAGCACTACTTGTTTTGAGAAGTCTATTTAGGCTGTGAGAAAGACAACAGGCAGAGGAGAAATCAAGACAGCCAAATGACATGGCTCTTCAAGATCACACCATCAGTTTTAAGTAAAGTTGAAACCAGAACCCCAACCAAATTCCATCTAATTCCCTACCTCATACATACTTAGACATGAACAAACTTGTTTATTTCAACGCACATAACTCAAACCTTGGATGAGCTTGAATCTACGACCTTCAAAAAACAAAGATTTGGTCACTGGGCAATTCATCTCCATCCCATTAAAAACTATCAATCTTACCCCTCTCCCCTGAGATACAACTCTCAAGGTCCAGCACTTACAAAAAACCAAATCATCATCTAATGAGGGTTTGTGCATTTTTTCCCTTTAATGTGCAAAGGGTTGTAAAAGAATAATCCTTCAGTATTTTTCCAGGGTACACTAACTTTTGCACAGCATGACAGACCTTTAGCACCTTGTATGTATTATAATTAAGGCAGCACACGCCAGGTGAAGAGATACTCTGTGCTCAGACACAACTGGTTCACATCTCTACAGCAAAACTGCAGATTATGAGACCAACAGAAACCATGACCCTCAGATATCTGACAAGATGCATTCTGCTGTAAGCATCTGAAAGTAACAGTGATACAAATATTTACCTTACTCTGTCTCAGTCAATTCAGTAAATGAATCTACAGAAAACTGCAACTATCCTGTAGCTAAACCAGAATAACTTTGAA